TGCTGTTTGTATAGGGAATAAGACAATAGCAAAGGAGAATAAGAAGATAGAAATGTGATAGTGTTAGAAGAGTAATAATAACCTAAATAATTTAGTTCATTCTTAAAGAAAAGAAAAACAAACATTTAACACATTTTTTTTGTATTTTGCTACCAGTTTTTTTATTCCTACTTCTCTTTTTGTTCTTTTTTCTTTCACTATATTGTTTGTTTTAAAACTTCTTATTTCATCATTTGGCTTTTATTCTCTATATAGATGATAATAATAAATGTATACCATGTAGTGTTCCTGAAGAAGAAGAAAAGATCGGAAGTAAGATCAGTCGTTGTTGGGTATTACTTTCATTCACCCAGCTGAATACCAAAAACCAAAGGAAATAGGTGTACATAAAAGTATCTAAGGCGTCAGTGACACAGAGGTAGAATGCTCGGAAAACTACGCATGTGGTTCGGGGTTCGACTCCTTGCCGAAGCACTCCTTTACCTCGCTGAGCCATTAATTAGACTAGTAAAGGGGGAAGGTTGGTCATGAGGCCACACAACCCCATCCCGTAAAAATGAGCACCACTGTTGCAGAAACATCCAAGCTCTAGCTTGAAGCTGTATGTTCCACTGGGAACGTTAAGGAGTAAAATAATAATAAAATGAAACTAACTAAATTATTAAAGGTGACAAAAACAGTGGCTATATGGTAGTAAAAAGTCACAACCACTCCAGAGAAACAATGTGGTTCTCTGTTCAGAAAGAATACCTACTGGTGCCTGAAAATACTCATAAACTTACATGTAAGAACACTTTATGTTGACTCTTATTCAGGGAACATTATTAGATGACAAAGCATCTCTATCAAAATGATCTAAGTTTTCACCTTGTCCAACACGTATCAAACAATAAATTTCCCTCATGACTCAATAGCCAAGGAGATAATGCTTTGACATTTGAAAGGACAGGTGTTGAGTTTCATTCTCACTGGGAAAACTCACTCGCCCAAGTAAATGTAGTTAACAATTCACATATAGAACGAAACTGTGGTCCACGTTTCCAATGCTAATCACCACTTATCATATCACATTAAGCTTTAGTGAACTGAGCCATGAAAATGCTTGGACTATTAGCTAGTTTGCCACAAAGACACAAGTATTTCCACTTCAGTATAAACAAACAATGAGAAATACAGAGTTTCAAAAAATAATTCCTTTCATTTACGAAAGAATCATATATATATCTGTTATCCGCATAATTCAATGGCTTTTTGTTTCATCATCAGTTTTTTAAAACCAAAACGTCCTAAATCGTAAATTTTCTTCATTGTATTTATCTACTTAGGTAGATTATATTTTCATTTTCATAGCGAAATTATTGAACAATCGAGTAGTTTGAATAAACACTAATTAAATTCCTTTTTATTTCAAAAGAAAGTAACTGATAACATTACTAATAATTTTACATAATGTTAAATAAATGTATGGCTCTGTTTCTTAATTTATCTAATCTTAATGTTTTGACCTTGTATATACATACAATACATATTTAAATGTTAACTCTATCTTAGATTAAATGTTGTATGAAAGAGTAGAACAGGATTGATTAATGATAATGTACTTAAATAGTGACAGAGTATAGATGCTATGGTTTAGTTTTCTTTTAAATTTCTTATATAAAGGAAGATAGAAGAATCTATAATTATTTTGTAGTTGTATAGTAAAATATGAATGATTTAAAAATGATTTAATTCTGTACAGTAGGACTATGAGTATTCTAATTGAATTTCATTGGATTGGAAATACTTGATGATTCCAAATATGAATGATGTGATCTAGATTAGTTAATTACCAACAGTGTCCCTAAATAATAAGAGTACTATGAATATAACTCAGGTGTGACTGATTTCTGTACCAAATGCACTAGACCATCTTGAGACAATATTGTTATGAACATGAATTAGAGTGGACCACATCCGTACACTGCTGCATCTTCAAGTCTTAGTTAAAAAAGTATAAAGCCTTACAAAAATACTTGTAAAATACAATACAAAACAATGCACTATTTGTTATCTAGAGCAGTGAAGATGTGCCGCTGAAACGCTGTTATCCACTTGGAAGTCGAGGAATGAATTAGAAGAAGAAAAAGACTAGTTCGTTCCTCGTTTGTTTGTTTTTTTACTTCCAGCTTCAAACATACCTTTCTTTCAACAGAGCATTTTTCGAAAACATGACTATCTTGAATTATCTAGTCAGCAAAGTAATCAAATCATTTTCATAGTTTCTTGTGTTCTGTAAATTAGACGGAACGCTAGTTCTTAAAACTGGTTATATGTACAACACTCCCATATCGATTTATAGGTCTTAGATTTATTGGAATTCTTTTATTTTCAAGAGAGATTTCATCACGAACTGATGTCTGATGGAAGAAATACTGGAAATCAAGAAACACCAGACAGTTCTTTTATCTTAGATGTGAAGTGCTTGGCAGTACTCATCAGTAAACTTACCAGAGATTAAACCTATGTCTATATTCAGCCAAAAAGCTGAAATTATCAATTCTCTGTCTGTGTCTAATGCATGATCAATATCTGTATTCATATCCGTTTTGTTAACTTTCATGGGACAAGACTTGTTAGTAGTGCTCCAGAAAATCTAGCGTTAAACTATAATTCAGAGTTCTATCCTCAACTTGATGAAATACAGTTTCTAAACATACAGGTAAAGTCAAGCTTAAATAACTTAATGACTACAAAGAAAACTGGTGGTCGTATCGCTTCTGTGAACATCTTCAGACTGGTAAAACTCGTATAATTTCATAAGGAACTTTTGGTATAACTGTGTTCTCTGAGCTAGGTGGTTTAATTGGAAGGCTTTCACTTTCCCGTTAAAAAACATCTGCAAAGCTAACTTCATTTCCGGTCAGAAACCAATCAGAGAATTTAAATTATTTTTAAAACTGTCAGGTTATTGGTGTTCGTAAATTACATTTCATCCTGATAATAACTTCCCAATTTTTTATAGTTGTTTTCACTTTATATTTGTATCGTCACTGGATATTGAATTTAGCAGTTTTTACTTCAAACGTGAAGGCATTTCCTTGTCAGCTAGGGATTTTACCTGTGTACGAACATTCCATCAATGCGGTCCCGCCAAACGACCTTTGCAAAAGTCTATGGAGAGTAGGCCGTTCATTTCGTTACCTTTGACAACCAATGGCATCCTCCCGTCTGTACCAGAACGCCTTAATCAGGGACTCTTGAGCATTGGAGCCAGCCCAAACCTGACTCATGGACGAGATCCCAACCCCAATGCACAACCCACAATACAAGACACCACTTCAGACTGGCCTCGGCTAACAGCTGCCATACCGTTGCCTCGTGTTTGAGGGTACCAGTCCTCCGCAGCCAGTCGTTATTGGCCCCGGTCCTCTCATCAGGAATCCGACAGAACTTGGCCCGCCGATATCCCGTATACCGTCATAAAAATGGATAAAAGGACGGCACGCTGCTTCATCAAGACTGAGCAACCAGACGCGAATGTTGTCTCATGCAAGTAACAGATCTTTGTTGAGGCTCGGTTTGCCTTCCTGATAAGCCCCATCCGGTGGTCACCACGAGGTGTGCCTGTTACGTGTAACTATATCTGAGTCCTGCCATTACCCATGCCTGGTTGAGTTTCTTCACGTTGATACTCAGAGCACTGGACGGAACAACGTAGCCAAATGGAGACTTTCGCAAGAAAAGCCAATTTTGGACAACATACGATGGTCAAAGCTTTACAGGCCTTGCACTGCATGTAGGGCCTCTCTGCTTAGTCCCACACCAGCTGACGGGCAACACCCCCACTCATCTTGGAACCGTGTAAGATGCATGCCAGGGCAACCAGCATACTCCCGAAATCATCCATTTTAGTTGAAGACTTAACAAAAGAAGCTATACGATGGTCTACGGCTTTCACACCTCGCACTGTGAACACGCATCCCCTGCTAAGCCACCACATAGCGCAAGTGTCATCGCGTCATAGTCCCGCCATTACCCATGCTTGGGTGATTTTCTTCACGTCGATACTCAGAGCACTGGGCGGAACACGATGACGATGCATTTGACTACCTTAGGAGAGTTATAGTTACTGAATGTTGAATTTAGCAGTTATTACTTCAAACGTAAAGGTATTTCCTTGTCAGCTACTCAACACATACTTTTCTAGTCCCACTTGTTGTTTTTACTGGGTAAATTATCTAGTGAAATAAAAGGTCGACAAAACTTGATTGACTTCGCATTTTTATCTATTAAGCACAAAATAAGCAATTCGATTACGTTATAATGATTCCCATGTATGCTTATGTCGTAATACCTTTCGTAGCGGCCAATAGGTTAATGAACACTATGTTAATGCAGTTACTCGAGAAACGTGTATCCTTGGATAAAGATATACGCTGAATTGAGTTAGTAGTCAATAAGACTGTCAATGACATACTAGATATAATCTTCCGTGAAAGTTGAACGGACTGATTAACCTTCTTTGAAGTTTACCTCTGGGTGCCCCACCTCTAGATACATCTAGCTTAGTGAACATCTTCATCATTTAACATGTGAGGTTTCTAATTCCTATTAATTATGGTACTGATCAACAAGTGAGATTTTGAAATAAAACATTTATGATGCTTAATCAAGTCAGAGGATAAATTGTTGTGCGTTTTGATCTTTGAAACAAATAGAATCATACGAATACCGGATAAATTTAGCAGATTTCCCACTCAGGTTTTGGTCAAATTATTGATAGGAGTTCAGAAGCTAACTGGCTAATGTAAAATACTTACTATCATATTATATTTTAAAACTTTACTCATATTTTGCATTCAGGACAATTCCTCATGAAATATGTTTCATACAGAAATACAAGAAAAAAAGCTCAAAAGTACATTCACACTTTTAAAAACTGAATCAATTATTTTCTTATCGAATAACTTTTCTTCTTCTTCTTTCAATTACATTTGAATATTGATAAACAAAAGTTACAATGAGTGAAATGATGCTCATTCTTTCATTTATTTCTATTGTACTTTATTATTAAATTAACACAATACTCATAACAGTAACAATAATAATAATAGTAATGACAATAATAATAAGAGATGCCGTTTAAACTTTCATTAACCCATCATTTGTTTTACTTACTGACTGTATTACCTCTGTTTCTTATTCACCCCCTGTTCAATAAATAAACAGACGGGTAAACAGGTAGTTTTCACTTAAACAAATAAAATGAGAGGTAAATTACAACGACAACAACGATAACAGATATGAAATATAATGAATTAAATGTGAAAATGAGTGCCAGGGAGTGATTTTGTAATTTTAACTCTGTATATTTGTGTGTATGTATTTATGTTTACAAAAGTGATTTTGATTTTTAAAATGAACATAAAAGTCATCTGACTATGGAAAATCTATGTACTAATTCATCAAAGGAGTGAACAAATCGTAAGAGACTGATGGGGAAGGGTATTATAATTCAAGCAAAGTAATGAATGATGAGGAAAGCAGAAAAGTGAAAATGGGTTGAAAAGATCATGTCTGTAGATGTTGAGTTGGCTTGGTGGGTGTACTTTGATGATTCAAAAGGAAATTTGATGAATTAATCTGCAACCTAGCTGGAGAGATGACAAGTATTCAGATGAATGTGCATCCTTCTAGTAATCAGTAGTATTTTAAGTTTACTGAGGTAGTCAGATATTATGTAGTTAAATGAATAAAGATTATAATTTGATTGAACAGTACTCACTATTTACAACAAATAATATAATTAAAATTGATCTACACTAATATAAAGAATATTTGAAAGGATAAAAAGGAAAAAGTTAATTGTTTTGGTAGATTTGATCTTTCATGTGATTCCCTTTTGAAGTTGGTATTCTGTCTGTCTCCGATTATGTTTCTTATTAATGAATATTTAAAAAGCTTATACAAATAAATTTAAGTTGAAGACACATTTTCACAGTTATGACTTTAAAAATTCCTGATTTATGAATGCCAATTTTTTTCAATTTCATTTCTAAACATTAATGATTCTGGATTTACTCCTGTTTGTTGAACTTTCAAGTAAAGGTTGTCAGCAATATGAAAATTGTTCATTTTTTCCGCTTGATTTAAAGACCATGAATGTTTATTGGATGTAGTTGAGGGTAGATTTAATAGATTTCGATGATGCTCTTTTCCTCTTTCTCTACTTATCATACTATTATCAACACCATCTTCATCGTCATCAATGTCATCATCTTCATCGTCTTCTATTTCATCATCTTCATCATTACCACTAACATTGTGTTTACCACGGTGATGAATATGCCGTGATTTATTTCTATGTGTTAGCGTATAATCATGCTTTAAATTTCTTCCTTTGTCAGAAATATTATGTTCTGAAGGATATGCACTGCTGGATATTGTATCTATTGTACCAAACTCATCAACAGATAATCGTTTACGTTTTATACACTCTTCATCACTATCATCACATAGTGAGGAATCTTTATGATTTTTACGACCTATTGTTGAAATAGTTGATCCTTGTTCAGCTAATTCAAGTTGTTCCAGTGTACCAGGACCATTCAATTTAGCTATATTATGATCTTTTTTCCATTTCATTCTTCGATTCTGGAAAAAAAAGAAAAGAAAAACGATATAAACAGATTTGTTTGAATTTTAAGCACACTTGTTTGAACATTAAATGATGCATTGTGATGGGAAATATGCTTATTCTTCTACGAAATCAAAGTTCTAGTATTTGCAAAGATTCGGATGGACTAAATCAAAATTTCACTACAAATTTATATCAGATAAAGAACCAGTGAAATATAAGAGGCACTCAAAAAGTCTATTAGAAGTGAAACAGATACAGTAACTATCATTCACCCCTGACTTAGTAAACTCCATGGATAATAAACTCCCATTTCAATGACTTTATTACTAATCAGTAGTCAGTATGCCTTAATTTTTAGAGTTTGCACCATGGTTGTTGTTGATGTTGGTTATGCCAACTTAATTAACCTTTAGTTACTCCTTATCACAATAATAAATTTGGAAAGATACAATTCTTTTCTGATTTTCAGAATGTTTCGTTGGAGAACACTCTAATTTCCTCAAAGCCTTGATCCAATCTACACCAGCTCTCCTAGTCAGTGAAATTACTCTAGATCAAAGCTTATTTGTATTTTGATTTCAATTAATTCGTCATACAGTTAAACAAATGTTAAAGTTTTATCAGGCAGTGTTGTTGCCATTATTAATTTCGTAGAGTTCTCTTTAGTTAGTTAGTTTTTCTACTGGATGTTCAGAAATCCCATCATGTCCCTTTTTTAAAGAGTAGCTAATAAAGATGTGACGGTCACATGGTTCGCCTCGGCTACTTTTTATTCAGTTAACGTAAACAGGTTGGCTTAATAGCGAAAAGAGTGGGGACAGCTTACACTTTTCAGATCTCTTTAATTTGTTATTCATTTCAGTGAATACTATACTGGCAAAATATCTCTAAATGGAAAATAACAACTAGCTAATTTTTTTACGAATTGTAATAGTTACTCTGCTTAGTTGAATCATATGGTTGAAGGCAATCGACAGGAAACCTTGAACCTAGGTTTTGGCACTCGTCAGCAAGGTGTATCTGAAGCAATCAAATATCAACAATTCAAAGTCCACCATGATGGTGATCCACCTAAAACGCTGGCCACAATGCAAACTTGACCGAGAGAATTCAGTCTTCATCAAACAAGGGACTAGACACATTACACTAGTTACTGACTAGTGTCCAGTCAAAATACTTTGCTTCATTCAAGAGTTACAGTATATCTCAAGTACATTCCTTTTTTGGGCGTCGGTGGCAAAGCGGTTAAGACGCTCGCCGACCATGCACATGGTCCGGGATTCGATCCCTGGCCACAGACGCACTCCTTTATTCCGCTAAACTAGAAATAATGCTTGTAAAGAGGAAATGTTGGGCAAGAGGCTAGCAACCTCATCCTGTAAAATTAAAACACTGGTACAGATACTTCAAGCCACTAGCTTAAGGCCTTATGTTCCACTGGGAAAGTGAAGGAAATAAAAATAACATGGGGTCTGTTCCATCTTTTTGCACTCTGTTAAATAACGAACTCACAGGTTATGTCATCTATTAAATTTGATAACTCAGTATTTTAACGAAAAGTAAATTTCCCAAATGACAAATGTCCGCCCACAGCACACATCAAGTTTAACTGAACTGTAAACACAATTAACTAACACTGATTATGTAGTCGCTTCTTATTACTCTGAAATATTTGTCCATCTGATCAGATATACACTTAGAGTTTTGCAATAAACATTCGATTCATAAACTGTTAGTTGTTCTTCAATTTCTACTGCTGACACAACGGGGAAAAAGAGAAAAAGAGCTCTTCATGTCTACGTCCTCAAAAAAATCCAACCAATGACATGAGAATCATGTAAAAGTGACCGAAATTTGAAAGATGGTAAGTACTCTTCAAATTCTAAAAATTGAAACTACATTTATCCTGCATTTGTGCGTCGGTGGCACAGTGGTTAGGACTCTCGCCGACCATGCACATGGTCCGGGGTTCGAGCCCACGCCGGCGCACACCTGATATCTATGGTCGGCCTGCAAAAATTTGGGCTACCAAATCTCAAAAAAAAATTTGATCTCAGTTGTTAATGCTATTATTATGATGTTTTTCCCTTTATTTTCCGTTGAACATTTAACAAGTAAACAAACAAACAAACAAACCAAGCTGCTGAACATAATTCATTAGATTTTTGTAATCGAATTGAAAATGTATTCAGTTATCATCTGCTAACATATGAGGTAAATACGATATACATGTATCTGTTAGTGATATATATATATTCATATACGGTACTTTGTTCACTGTGAACATCCATCTGAAAAAGGTGTAGGTAATAAATAATGAAATAAGGTAAAGAGAAGAAACTAGAATGTTGGAAGAAAAAACATGCGGAAAAGTAAAACTCAGACACTGATGTAGTTCGCTTAAAGAATGTCTTACACATGTGTGCATTTTTCTCTATCACTTACTACCTTATTCGCCTCTCTCTCTCTCTCTCATACGCACACACACTCTGACCTTTTTCGCTTATTTTTATACATTCTGATCAACGCTACACAAGCTTAATCAGCGGGTGTAATTTCGTGTCCAACAAACCATAAGCAGGAAAATTAGCAAGTGAAAGGGAAAGGAAAACTACAATAGATATGTCCAAACTAAGTTGAGATTTAATGGTCTGTTTTTCATTCATTGAGAAATACAAAAACCAAAAAAAAACTTTCTAATAAAGGGAAAATAAGTTGACACAATAGAAAATGAATGGGTTTTTGTGTAAAGGGGTAAGGTACGGCGAAGAGATGTGCATTTAATGTGCACAACTTTCAGTTCATCATATATACATATGCTTCTATCTAACTTCCAGTCGCAAATATATGTGACTATCACTTATCTGTAGAAAGACATTTTTCTAACTACCGTAAATTATGACATTTACGACTATTTCGTATGTTTGTAGGGTAAACTTTTAATACACATTATCCCTCTTGTTATTCTGTCCAATAAATTACCGTAAAGTAAATTTTTACATTACCAGGTGGTTAACTTTCTAGTTTTAAGTTATGTAGAGTAAAAGACAAGTTATTTATGACTGTTGATCAAGAAGTCCCTTCAATTGGAAGAGATTTATAGCATCTTGATGGAAATGCAAGCTGTGAGTTACTGATAAGTTTTAACTGGTAATTTTAAAGTAACGGTTAGTACTAGAGGAGAATATTGATTCAGTCAAATGTTTGAATTTAACTTCATCATGTGCTCAGATATTATTCCATTTCATTAAAGTATCTTAACTACCTAAATTTAAGTTACTTTGTATATTAGATGTTATGACATGAATTTAAGCTTATGTATTATGAATGAACAGTTGAACTGATCTACGTGTTAGTGCAGGGTATTCGAAAGAAATCACAGTTAACAGAGAAACTACCTGAAGTCTTTATGTGCTTGACCAGTTATCAAAATATTCCAGGAATTGTCTTTTTTTCCTGAAGATCCGTGTATATAATACTGTACTTGTTAAAAATGAGTGTAGTTTTTTACTTAAATTGAGCACTGACATATGGATTTTTTTAAATCATCTGCAGAAGTCTCCATGAGAGTGAAATTTTAAATACAGAATTGTTTTACACGATAAATAGGTGATTTCATAAAATATTATTTTCAAATAACACTACTGTTCAGCATATTGCTAAATGCGCATTAAATTTTACCTTGAGGTTGTTATTTACTTAAAATTGACTCAACTCTCAGTGGAATAAGTAAGTCACTTATGAAGTTTAACAGCAAAAGCACTTGTAACATAAGTGAAACAAAAAAGTAAAAAAAATCAATATGGATCTTAGCATTTCTGACATTACCAATAGAAAGGCTTTTCTTAGGACATAAACCCCATTTATAAATACTTTCCTTGTTTTTTCTATAGTTTGGTTTATAAGGATTAGTTGTGTTTTTACGAGTTGATCACGGATTGATATCAGTTAGAGAACCATTGAAAACCAGGGAGTACTGGATAGCTGCTGTTTCATCCTAGTTTGGGAATCATCGGCAGTGGCTGAATGGTATACGAGCTTGCCTTGTAACCGGAAGGTCCTGGGTTCGAATCCCACTGGGTGCGTACTGCCGATGACTCCCAAACTAGGATGAAACAGCAGCTATCCAGTACTCCCTGGTTTTCAATGGTTCTCTAACTGATATCAATCCGTGATCAACTCATAAAAACTTTCCTTGTTGATTTTCTACTCAAAGCCATGTCTGAGTTTATTGTGAATCAGATGAAAGTTGTATTACAAACTGTAATAGATTACAGAAGTGGTAATGATTTAATGTTCAACAGTCGTGTAATTCATATTCAAATGCACAGTTGAAAAATTACTTTGTTTTGCATCTGTTTACAGCTTATATCATACTTCCTAAAGTACATTTATTCATGGTATATATTCTTATATAAGGATACCTTGCAAAGTTAGATACATACACTTAATTCACCTGATTTCCAGCAGAAGTACCATGACTTAATATTCATAAGTTTACAGTTTTAGAACAAATTATCATCACATTTAATAGGATAAAGTTTAACATTCAGAAAAGTTTCTTGCTTTTATATCACCCCAACATCATTCGTACAAGCATTTTTACAACATTTCACAAATATAGTATGGTGTTAGTATTTTAGAGTGGCATTCAGAAATATCCCGAGGATTGAAAGAAAGGATACTTATTCAAACTACCAAAGAAAGGAGACTTAAGTCAACGCAAAAACTGGCGTGGAATTATGCTCCTGTCCATCCCAAGCAAAATACTAAGCCGCATCATCCTGGAGAAAATCAAAGACGCCGCCATGGATGAAAAACTTCGACCGGAACAGGCCGGATTCAGGAGAAACAAGTCATGTATTGATCAAATCGCCACACTACGGATCATCATTGAACAAAGCTTGGAATGGCAGTCACCTCTCTACTCTCTCAACTTCATCGACTTTGAAAAGGCCTTCGACAGCGTCGATCGAGTGGTCATTTAGCAACTACTTCGCTACTACGGGGTCCCATCGACAATTATACATCTCATCCAACAGTTATACGACAATGCTGCATGCCAAGTAATCCACAACGGGAAACTTACGGAAGCCTTCGAAGTGAGGACGGGAGTGAGACAAGGCTGCTTACTATTACCAATGATCTTCCTGATTCCGGTAGATTGGATAATGCGACAGACAACGGCAACCAACGAGGGAACAGGCATAAAATGGACTTACACAAAAAGAGACTTGGAGGATCTGGACTTCGTCGATGATATATGTCTGATTTCCCACAAACTGGAAGATATGCAAGTGAAAAGCAACAAGTTGACAATAGAAGCATCCAGATAAGATAGGACTTCGAGTGAACATAGAGAAAACAGAGGTAGGTGATGAAGATTCCTGGCCAACACCAACACCGACAGCAACAACAACACACAACACACAACAATCAGCCAGCATAAATGGGAGGAACCTCAAAGAAACAACCTCCTTCACCTACCTACCAGGGGAGCATCGTTTCAACTACAGGAGAACGGAACTGACGAGGATATCAAAGCCAGAATCGGAAAAGCAAGGAAAGCTCTCATTACTCTCAAGTCTGTGTTGAGGTCAACATCACTCACCATCAAAAATAAGATCCGGATCTTCAACTCCAATGTGAAGACAGTCAGTGCTACTATACGGATCAGAGACTTGGCCAGCGCGTCATAAAGAGCATCTCCAACAAACTTCAGACCTTCATTAACAGTTGTCTTCGCTCAATACTCAATATCAGATGGCCAGCTAGAAAAGATCAGCAATAGTGAGGGATCTCTGGCAATCAGCGAGTCAACCAGGAACCAATTGTGAAACAAATAGGTAGGAAGAAATGGAGATGGATTGGCCACACACTGAGGAAACCATCAAGTGAAATCACTAGAGAAGCCATTGCTCGAGTGGAACCCGAAAGGGAAGCGGATGGCGAGTTGGTCGTCAGTGTGAGGGTGACTTGGAGGAGGTCATGTGAAGAAGAGATGAAAGCATGTGGGCAGACTTGGAGCGGGGTGAAAAAGTTGCAGAAAACCGAAGGCAATGGAGACGCGCGGCTGAAGCCCTATGTTCCTCTAGGAATTAAAGGATATAATAATAATATTCAGAAATATCCACTTCGTGTTTAACTGCAACTACCTTCTGTCTTACTATTTTTTTATAAATAGTTCAGAATTGTTTTAATACTGAAAACATTGCCTTTCTTCCTTACTACGAAGACTTCATGGTGTAAAGAGAACATATCTACTCATTTAGATGGCGCTTCTTTCTTCTCAAAATCGCCAGTATCATCTTCAAGATTCATGTGTGATATAATTCCGATGCCTTGATTACTTTCACCTTCAAAAATAAATTCTTAATAATAACTAGTAATTTATGCATTTAGTTAAGGATTAAGAACTCAGTTAATAAGTCCCCTGGCCGTTTATCCCAAGGTTGCTGGTTATATTCATACATCCCCCCCCCCAATGCAGTGAAATCATTTAAACAGGTCGAAACTATCTCAGATAGCACAATCAGTAGTTGATAAAATGAGGTAAATTCTAAAAGATGTTTGCATTAAATTGCGTTTAACTTACTTGGAACCAGATTTTAATTTGTCTTTCAGTTAAAGTGAGCGTATGCGCTATTTCAATTCTTCGTCTACGCGTTAAATATCTAAGGTAAGAAAAGAAAAATAACAATTGAACTTAGAATAAGAATTACGAATTATGTTCATCGCTTGCTTAAATCATGTAAAGAAGAAGAAAATTAGTGAATTATGTTGTGAGAGAAGGTTGAGGATAAAAATAATCCTCAAGATGCTCTCGCACATAGCAAATACCACAAGAGGTATTCCAGTTGTGGAAAGAAATCGATAAAGCACCCTTAAAACCGCCTAACATAATATCCGATGTGTGTACAGCATTCATCAAAGCAAGAAATAATAAATCATACGGGACCAACTATGTGACGAAATTCTGATCGTATTCGTGCGCTTCTATTCTGTCATCAAGGAGGCAGAAACAGAAAGGAGGTAAATTTGTTTGGTGGTACATCATCTACTCACCCAAGAGGAAACCTGTAACATAAGTGAAACTCTGAGCATCTGAGATGGAATTGTTAGGAGACCATCATATATCTTACATCACTAATACTTATGCAACTAGTTCTTTTCACCATTAAAGTACAGCTTAGTAACAGAGTAATTCTTTGTGTGGCATTACAAATGATAAAGACAATTTAAGCAAACGGTAATCAAACTAAAGGTTAATATTTTCTAAAAGACTGAACAATACTGATATCAATCCGGTTAACAACAAATTTTGTTGTTGTCAAGCTAAATATTTCCATTGAACTTACTTATTGAAGTGAAATTCTTTTTCTAACTCTAAGGTTTGATAACGCGTATACGTTTGTCGGGTACGTTTCTGATCCACAGTTATGTCTAGAATTAAACAAATGAAAACAGGAGAATAATAGTCATTAATATATCTATAATGGGCAATAGATTAACAAATTCAAAAGTATTTGTCCACCAACAGATTCTCTGCGTTAACATAAGATAACATGCGGTATAATAATACAAAAAGCATTATTTCGCATGGTAGACCATCTTCATAGGATATAATTAATCGTACAATTTTAAAAAAAACTTCTGAATCCTTTTCAGAAACTGTTAAACTTTCAAGTGTTGGTTTGTAGGGATTTAAGTGGTCACAGGATTGATTACGGATTGACATCAGTTAGAAAACCATTTGAAAACCTGAGGGTACTGGACAGTTGTTTTGACCTAGTTTAGGACTCTCCATCAGTACACACCTTAGAGTGGTCCGAACTCAGGACCTTCCAGTTACAAGGCAAGCTCGTATACCAATCAGCCATTGGGACCCAACCGAATGGTCCATGAATTCCGACTTCTGCCGACTCGTGATTTATATTTAGTGCAACCGCCAGCCACTGTTGTACACGAGTAACTTTCCTCTCGCCTAACTTGATGGACCGCTCTGGTTACGACTTCTCTGTATTAATTTTCTTATTCTCAGGAGAGTGTGATAGTTTTCATTACCTGCTAAAAAACCCATAATATTCAGCTAAATAATAGCAACAGTAGTGTGTCTAAGTGTTCACTTCTTGGTCAACGTGAGCTACCCTATCTAATATACTAATTGGACATAAAGCATAAGTGATCCTCAAGTTTACAAACAGGATGCGTATGGATTACTGTAGTATGGGAAATTGGCTAGTTTAATACGTGATCAGGTGGTCGAAAATAACTATGTGCAACCTTTACTCTTAGTACAACTCTTTATTTCATGTTTTGTTCCTGACTTTTGACCTATTGTGTAATATCCACTGAACTCATATTTTCATTATTTCATCATTAATGGAGATTTGCATTTCCCAACAAATGATAAACGTCTTTTTCAACTCTGATTTCTTTAGAAATTTATCCTATGCAAATTGGCACAGTTTAAACGTGTTATTGTGCTAACATATAAACTATGAATCTGTTTAGATTTCATCTCATTTGTACACAAGGGTACTTTGTAGTATGTGTCACATTCTAAAGAATACTCTCATGTCACATTAATGGATCACTTTCTGATCTTCCTAAAAGGTTGGTATAATGTGTAAGATGACTACTGTCATCAACCATGACTTCTGAATATCATTTTCTTCACGTTTCACATTGTTTTCTGTTTAACGAATGCTGTTCACCAAGAAGGTTATTTATCTTAAAAACTTTGATTATGTTTCGTTATATCCTTTTCTTTTTCTTCATCTATCGTAAATATAAGCACTGTCTACAAAAGACTTGCGATAACCGAGATCTGTGCACCAAAACAGAATGAGGCCTTAAGACCAAAATATTTGTTTGAGTACTGACTGTTTGAATTCTTTCATACTAAATTGTTCATCTTCTTCTGTCTTACCAAATCAGTCATTTTTAGAACAGGCATTGATTCTATTCTAATTTCGCGGGGAAAGTAGTACTGGAGTTGAGATCCAGTATTCGCTTCCTTTAAAATATGTAATAAATGTCAAATTTGCATTCTAAGAATATTTTCAAGTATTGGTTTTGTAGGGATTTTGTTTGATTGTATGGAGGATTTCACCATGAGCTGACATCAGTACTCCTAGGTTTTCCAGTTGTTCTAAGAATATATTGTCATTATATCTTAGTCAGATTTCTATGAATTTCCTCGAAATCCAGTTGTGAGTGGATGTGGTATTATAGTTCATGTAGATGAATCTTTATTGTATTATTGTTTCCTTTAGATCCTAGAGGAACATAGGAACGTAGATAAATCTATAACTGTCACATTAAATTTTTCTGGTACACTTCTCTTTTAACTGTAAAAAAGTGTCCTTTTAAAATTTAAGATCTTATTGGACATATTTTTTTACATATGAATATGTCTGAGTTTACAAAAAGAAAGGCGGTGTTATCAAGGTTTATGTCAAAAATTGGTATTACATAATCTGTGAACTTTATATCCTGCCGTAACTTCAGTATCAGACTTCATGTTCATTGTTTCAGATTTAAAATCAAATAAATCTTTAGGTATATATTCCTAATACACTTGAACACCTGTTGTAAGGAAACGTGATGTTGAAATACGCTACTGGTCTTCTTAGAACAGAAAGAGTGTGAGTTATTGAAAAGCAACTAAATCCGTGGATTAAATATCATTTTGGGTAGATTTCAGAGCAATAGAATCGTCATATTTGAATCCTCTAAGTCGAATAATTCATACACTCTGTACATCATAGTGTTTTGTGATTAATATCTCTCTCTTCGCATTTGTTACACAAATTCCACTCTTGATTCTTGAATATCCTTTTAGTCTTTCTATGTTCTTTGAAGGCTGAGTACCAGTAGTGTCCTTTTTTACTGGATGAGGTTACTAACTCCTTGCCCAACCTTTTCTCTTTAGCAGGCTTACAACCAACTAAGCTAGGTTCAGGAATTTATTGTCATATTCTAATGTTCCATACAAGTTTTAACATCCGTTATTCTTTACCATATATAGGAGACACTGGAGCATAACCAGAAATCGCTGTATGCTACTCTACATTGCCTATTATTTGATTATTAATGTCCGATTATGAAAAGCAGAGTCGTTAGACAAGATTTATTTTATAGTCGTTTTTAGTCATCCTCCTTTTTCTAAAATGTCCAAGTTGATTCATTTGGTAGACATCATGTTTTACATATATTCATGCTTGAAGTCTTCTACGGCTGTAAGATTTCATGTTGAACTTCTTAACTAAGTAATACATACGTCAGGTAAAATTCATTTACCACTGGATTCCACCTCAATAGATAAATGGTAACGCGCTTACCTAACTATCTGTGGTTCAATGTCTGAGACAGGACCGAATCTGAAAGAACACAATGCCCAGTGCCCCGTATTTTTTTTATAGTTCACTAACAGATATCAGTTCATCTGTCTCTGTCTGTCTGGATTCAACATAGAACTTGGCACCGAAGTGCACCAGTTCGAGTTGCCACGTTCCAAATAGCACACAGAGGTAGACAAGAAGATGAGTGAAGTGAATCAATAGAGTTTGACAAGTATAAGAGTGAAACAGAATGGGTAATGGTAGAAAGGAATATGAAAGATTACAGAGACTGAATACAGTTCATAATGGAATCAGTCTTAAAACTGATCATATATATGGCCATAAACTCAGCATTCAAACACTTACACGTGTTAAACTTAAGCTTCAAGTACAAAAGTCAATAATGAACTGTTTAAATAAAATGATATTTGGATAAAATCGGTGTTGAAAGAGTCCCGTCAGAAGAAGAATATAAGCATTCCTAGTAATCCAAGATGGGTATAATCCAAATAAGCTTTTAAAATAAAAGCCTACTGCTATTCATATTTATTATTGTCTAGTTTATCACTAAAATATGCCCGTCCTGACCCTTTTCAATGAAAGACTCATACATAGAAGGGAGATAAAAAATTAATGGTGAAACAATTAAGAGACCACAATTCATACATACTAAAACAGCTAATTGACTAAAGTAGTCGCTGTTTTCGGTAATTATGACAGAAAGCTGGAAAAACAATAAACACAAAGATAGATAGATAGATATATACACATTCTTATCATCTGTGTGTAACTAAGGTGATTTTTTGACTTTGTACCACCTTTTTCTTTCTCTTCTCTGTTACATACATACTTTATTATCTGTGTAGGATAAAAGAATAGGGGTGTGTATGCATTAGAGATTGTTATTTAGCAGAAAGAGAACAGGCAAAAGAAGAAGAAGAATACCGAAAAAAGGTGTGTATGACCTAGACGGTCCACACAAGTTTTGATTGTTCGTCTATGAAATATGCATATAAATCATTAATAAATAACTAGCTGGTAGCTCTTTGCATTCTTTTTTTACTCTCCGTGGTACAGTAGTGTCAGATAAAGATTTATATCCAGTATATCTTTTCGCAGAAATGTCTTAATTAGTATTTACGATACACCATATTATTATTATTTGTGGTGGTGGGGATGGTGTTTGCATTAATATTAGTAGTATGCTTTTCATTAACTCATTAGATCGATTTTAGTCTAGAGGCTTCTCTCTCTCTTTCCGTCTCTCTCGATATATGTGTGTGCACGCTTGTGTCTTTATGACATTTGTTTTCCCATTTACATATTAACTTTGTAAATAATGTTGAAAATTTCACCGAAGACTGGGTCATATCGGCAACAACAACAAGGTGATTTCTTGATTCGGTTTACTGGATTTTCTTTAGTCAGACACTTAATTGAGTGGTAAGTTTCATCACCGCATTTTCATATTTGAAATCAAGTCTTACTAACCCACCCACACTAACTATGGTGTAAAATATGTTGAATTTATGGAGGGAAAACAACTCACTTATAATGATTTCCATCAGAAAGCCTACTGTTTATGAATAATTTGGAAATTGTCTACAGAAATAATGATAATTGTGAATACAGAAATAAAATTCGATTGGAGTAGAATATCGGACAGTGATCTTCAAGTTGCTGACTTAGTACACTCACTTTCAAACCGACTGTCACCCGATTTATCTCCTAAGTAAGCTTAAATTTCATTTCAACATTTTCAAACAGTTCATGTTTTTTTAAAATAAAATTCAAATGTTTAAGGTGAACTTAATCAGTCGGACATCCAGATGAAGGTGGTAACAACAGTGTTCAAATCACTACAACGTATCATGTGGAATCTACAGGTAGATATGAATGATTTATTATTATTTGTATCTTGTGCTTATGTAATTAATCAAGTACAAAAGAAATTTAGTGAAGACCCTCAACCACAGAGTTAGAGCTATATGCTCATCAGAAGAAGTAACTGAGGATGAATTAAGCATTGTATATGATACTTTGATCGAAAATGGCTATCCCGACAAATTTATCAAGAAACACATGACAAAGAAAACG